AAAAACATCAAGCTTTACATCCATGCCCCTGAGTATGGTCAACATTACTGATGGTGGTATGTAAGTCCAACTATAGTCACTGCCTGAAGTGGAGATATTGTAGCCAAGAGAAGATTCACATTCTTAGAAAGCCTGGAATCTGTGCCACAAAATAAGCCAAAGAAGGTTTTGCTCACACTAGTGTCAGGGGCTTGTGGAGCCAACAGAAGTTGACATATATAATAACTTAAGTCTTCTGTTCTTTCAATACTATCATAATAAACCATATGTTTTCATCTAGCCCTGTCATCACGCACCATTCCATGTTCAAAATTTGATTTCCTTATACCTCCTACCATATTACCAGGATGCTGCATAGTGATTAAGCCATAACCTAGTAGAGGCTGAAAATAGTGAATGGAAGGCATCTTTATGCTGAAGAATCAGAAATATTAATATGGTGCCTTTGCAGGCAACACTCTTAGGTACAGCCTTTCCCCACTTGCACCCAAGTATGGCATGAACATCCCTGGCCACCTCTTATTTCTGCCACAACCTGTGAGGTTGCCTGGACCTCATCAGCTGTGATGGCAGAGAGCTGCCTGATAAAACTGAGGAGAGCGAGCCAGCTCTCTCTCTGCTGTTTCACAGTGCAACCCTCTCCATGCCCATCAGCTGTGATTCACACTGCTTTTGAGCATGAGTTTTAGTGCTTTTTCAGGAACACCTAAGCAAGTTTTGACATAGGGCCAAATTCACTGGCCTAGCCATCTGTTGAAATTCATCTCATCCCCATCTTAAGTTAAGGAGAGTGTCTGGTGGATGTTTTCCTAGCAGCTGAGGACCTTGCAGAGGGGAGGAGGGACACAAAGCTGAAGGAATCTCCCAAACCCTGTCCTTAACATGCCCAGAACACAGTAAGTAAGGATGACACTATTTGCCAGCTTCATGCTGCTGGCATGAGAGGGACTCCCACTGGGGACAGCAAATGTATTGCTGGTAAACATGTTTGGCCAGCTCAAGGATTGGTGGACAGCACCTTAGGTGGGCCAAGAGAAAGAGCTTTAAAAGGAGCAGTATGCCATCAGACCAAAATCTTTGGACTTCTTTGCTACCTGCATCACCAGCCTTTGCACAAATAGTTCTGTCATCAGCTAAACCACGCTATCACCCAACATTTTCAAATCCTTGGTCTGACTGTAACTTTTCCTCGGTTTTATTTAAAATGTTGTCATCCTGAAGAAAAGTAGGCAAGCAAATTAATGTGGTGTGCCTGGCTCTTCTAAGAAAGGTGTGTGTTTGTGTGTGCACCCTGCCAAAATACATTCAGTGCTGCATTTAACAGACAGAGAGGTACCCTCACACAAGCCTGAACACACATAAGCAGGCAGATATAATAGAAATCAGTAGAAAGTGTGGAGTCCCCTTAAACTTCCCCCTTTGCCACCTTGTGGGCAAATCTTTCCTAAGTAACAAAAACCAGAAAGGGCAACCCGTGCCCTGTTCTCTCCCTGCTTTCTTCCCCAGATGCCTCCTTCACAAAGACTTACTGATCTCAAGGGCCAGCCTCTGGGTAGCAGGCGAGTTGTGTGTGTGTGTGTGTGCGCGCACACACACCTCTTTAGACAACTATTTTGGCTCCTTTTGTTGCACAGCATCTCTCCCCTCATGTTTCCCTGTGATGCAATATTTATTTATTATTTATTTATTTATTTATTTATTTATTTATTACATTTTTCAACCGCCCATCTCCCTCCAATGGGGGAACTTTGGGCGATTCACAACAAACATTAAAAACATAAGATATATAAATACATAAAACCTTAATTAAAAACATTACTAAAAAGAAGAAGGAAAGACCAATAGTGCAACAGAAGCACGAAAAAGCAGATGGACGAGGAAGCCCCTTCTCGCGTTAAAAACCTCTTTTCCGGGATCAAAACTTTCAATGAACGAGCCGTTAGCCCACAAACATGCTCCTTTTTTTTCCATCTTCATCATCGCCATCTTCATCATCGTCCTCTCAAATATCCCTTCCCTCGCTCGCTCTCTCCCTCTCGCAGCTCAGCTAGACGCCAAGCTATCAAATGGGCACCAGCCAGCCTGCTGCTCCTCTCTCCTCCAGCCTCCATGTCTGGCAGTTTCCCAGGCGAAATGGCTCTGGCTGGGCACGGAGGATCCCGGGCTCTTGAGAAAGGGCCAGGCAGGGAAGGAGCGAAGGGCGGGAGGCGGGAGGCGGGAGGCGCTCCGCCAGAATCAGA